GAACTTTCTGGGCATTTATCAAATATTCTGGGTAGATGGACTCATAGGTGAGTTAGGAAAGATCAGGGACTTGAGAATGGAAATCCCAAACTTTCTGCTTACTCTGGTGATCACTGTGAAATATGAGACTGGAACAGGGAAGTGGAAATTTCTTTTTTTTCATAGCTAACCTTGACGTGTCATCTTTATTCATGGAGTAGTTTTATTGGCAGATGCCCCATTGTTTAAGATTACAAGCAGTGCAGTGCACCTTCTATAAACATATTACGCCTGGGGACAGCAGCAGCTTTGCTAACTCCTGCACCAGGGAGTTTCACCTGCGAGACAGACAGCAATACTGTGTTTATTTGGGCCCAACAGGAAACATATCCTGGTAAATATTAGCTAAGATGTAGCTGGATTACCTTCGCTGATTTAAACTGAAAGGACTTTTAAGTGCTGTACTATACAACTCGCTTTACATAAAGTGAGGTTTTCTTTCTCCTCTAGACAGACTGTCATATACTCGCAGTATGCTCATACAGGAGGGAATTTTTCTCCTGGTGAAGCAAATCTACACTTCAGTTGTGTGTGGCAGCAAGAAAGATTTGTTGAAGGGAAAATTCCTTTGTCATTCTGCCTGAAGAAGGGTGTAATTCTTCTGCCTCTTTGATCTACCTGGGGGTAGCTTAAGCAGGGCTTGTAAAAGAGCCTCTAAAGAGGGCATGTCAGATTTAAAGAGGCAGGAAAAGAATGGTAAAACTGGGGATCTATTTTCAAGGTTCCAGTCTGACGGCCATGCTGATTAGCTTGCTCTCATCTCGTCTGTGATTATCATCTGTTGAATTCTATGTCCAGACCCTTGGTCAAATTTCCAGAGATTTCTGATGAAGGCTGAATAGCAAAATTGTGGTAACAATTTATCACAACCCCTAGCATGAGAAGATGGGTAGATTAGAAACTAAAATTTTTCTTCAGATTTCTCCCCTTCCTGTCTGTTCACTGGAATAAGGAGTAAGTCTGCTGTAGCTCACCCATACCAAAGGTACACGTGTGCAGCTTATGATGGACAGGCTGAGGCATCCCAGCATTTCACACACTGTCTATTCTGGCAATGACAGCCAATATTCACATTATTGCAGAAAAGGACAAAATGAATGCCAATGTCAGCTGAAGCTGCACGTTTCTGCACAATAAATAGGGGTGTTAGAATTTAAATACTGGAAAACTTCTTTGAATAGCGTGTTGCACAGGAATATTTTATATTTGCTCAAACTACGCATTAACATGAACACATTAAAAGCGCATTGAGGATTGTTTAGAAAGTGACCTCATTGCCCCCTTCCTCGGATACATGCTTAAAGTTTAACCCTCATCAGCTGCATTTGCAACCAATAAATTCAACAGCAAAAGTTTAAAACAGTGAAAAGGTACATGACAACAAAAGTGACCTTCAATTTTTTCATCCTAATTTTAATGAGCAGAGGAGAAAGGTGATTTCAGCCTAAGTGCATAAAGAAGGCAACTGTATAAGACAAACAAATTAATTCTCAGGGCTGTTGATACAAACAAGGACATAAAATCACAGAATTTACCTCTGGCTTTACAAAATGTAATTAACTTGTACTTAGACTCCATCTTTGATAATGTAATATTTTCCCTTTGCTACTGATTATTATATATAAAGGACTTCTCTGACCCCCATAACTATGTCTAATGGAAGGATTTCTGGTTTAGCCAACTAAAACATTTAGGCAGCTTCTCTAAGCTAATCTGGATGCCTACAAAGTAAATAAAAGACTTTGCCAAAGAGCCATTCATTCCTTCATAAAACAGTTGTGGTGACAAGACAAGCGGACCCTCAGCAGGTGCATATGCTTCCTTTACTGTCTCTTAGGAGTCAGCTGTACAACTGGCATAGGCAATTATCTACCATTTAAATGGCTGAAGTTAAATAAGACAAATTTCACACTAAGTAACCCACATCCAGTGTATCTAATCCACTGCACACCTATGCATTATCCCTATTTTGGATATATGAAGTAAGGGCTTAAGAGATAGAAAAAGCACATTATTACCTCCTGAAATCAAGCAAAATTTGAGCAGTCGGGTTGGCAACAATTTGAGCCTAAGCATTTTGCTCCTCGCCAAAAAGGAAGCTGGGGTGGGACAGCAATATGATGCAGGGTTTCAGGTAAGTGTTGTAGCATCTTTAGCTTGCATCTGAAAAAAAACCCAACCCATTCCTAAAGGTTGTTTTGGTGTCATCCTCTATTAGGAAGGGTAACGCAGCAGTAAAGTACCAGTAGCAAACAATTACAAAGCCCCCAGCATCTCGTGATCTGAGATGCACTCTTCAAGTGCAGGTCCTTCTAAAGAAAAAGTCATCCATAGCAGCTGCAGGTCCCCAAAACGTTCAGGTCTCTGTGCAGCTGGGGACACCGTGTCCTTAGAGACACAGTAAACTCAGAACACCATTTGTATGAGTCACCAGCGAGAATATTTTCCCCTCAAGTTCTTAAATTATTTCAGTTGTTTTTAAGATGAAGCATTTTGCCCCCAAGAAATGTGATTACAGTACACAGTTAAATTTGGCTACATGAGAAGAATTTTGTTTAACAAAGGCAAAATAAATAGGCACACAAGGGTACACTTTTGGGGGGGTTAAGCACTGTGCACTAATCAAACACATCCTCTCTGGCAAGGAAACACATTTTATGCTCAAAGAGTGATCAACTCTGAAATCTATTATTTTTTCTAAGAACATTCCTAAGTTTTGGGTCAAAATCAGACCCTAGATCTGTCTATGAACATAGCGGGCAATCTCTAACTCCACAGTGGCTCAACCTCTCCCCAGGCCTGCATGTCTGAGTGACTCCAAGACTGGGAATTTTCCAAATGTAGGTTGATCCAAATTCCAGTCTGAACACATCTGTAGTATTTTCTGCATCGACGATTCTTATTCCCTGGGTCTCTTGTTAGTATCGCCAATCATAAAGGACAAAATTAACAGGGATGCAGAGCTACACTTTCCTTTAAGAACAGATTTCAGATTCTGATTCTTTAGTCTCAGCAGTACCTTTGTGGTGAGTAAACATCCAATTGTCATGCTGCTGAAATTTAATCTTTCCTTTTATTCTCACCTAAAAGTCCTATTTGAGATGTTTTTTGCAGTTCCAGAGCTTGAAATTCATACCCTCAAACCAAGTCTATAACTATGCTAAAAATAACTGCATATCTGGCTTAATTATGCCTTCTGCATCAGCTCTCGCTTCTTCCTAAATTTGCTATCCACATGACATTTGAAGTCTCCTAATGGCAACGTACACACACACACAGTGTGTACAGGCCCCATTTCATCTTCTAAAAGGCGGAAAGACCTCTTCAAAAACCCAGCCATTCCCCACCAGTCTCCCCAACTTATGTCCACAATGAAGTTACCTGCTTCTCTATGTCTCCACTGACTCAACTAAGCAGAGGACAATATTAACAGTTGACTGATTCGAAGTTTACTGAGCAAGCCAAAATGATTATTTTTTTGCTGGAATGCTCCTTAGGCAAGAATCTGTTAGTTTCCTCATATACTTACTGGAACTTTTCCCCATCAGCTGAGGGAAAATATGCAAATTATATAACTTTAAACAAGTGTCTCAAGACTTCATCAGAATTTACTTCTCGCCTGCAGGTATAAACGAAACCTGCATTACCCATAATGTTTATTATTTCTTACTCTCCAGAACACTATCAGCAGAGGGAATGTTCAACTACCTCCGGAAACGCTTTACCAGCCACATCAGAGAACGTAGCCGACGAAGAGCAAGGCTTGTCTCTAAAGATGGAAGGTGTAACATAGAGTTTGGCAATGTAGAACAGTCAAGGTTTGTCTTTTTGATTGATATATGGACAACTATTCTGGATCTCCGATGGAGATACAAAATGACTATCTTCATTTCAGCGTTCTTAGGCAGCTGGTTTCTATTTGGTCTCCTCTGGTACGTTGTGGCATACATCCACAAAGATCTTCCAGAATTCAATCCTTCCATAAATCACACCCCCTGCGTTGAGAATATCAACGGCCTGACTTCAGCTTTCCTGTTCTCCTTGGAGACGCAGGTAACCATCGGTTATGGCTTCAGATGTGTCACAGAACAATGCGCCACTGCCATTTTCTTGCTCATCTTCCAATCTATCTTGGGGGTAATAATTAATTCTTTCATGTGTGGTGCCATCTTGGCCAAGATATCGAGGTCCAAAAACCGAGCTAAGACCATCACCTTCAGCAAGAATGCTGTCATCAGCAAACGTGGTGGGAAGCTCTGCCTGCTTATTCGGGTGGCAAACCTCAGGAAGAGTTTGCTAATTGGCAGTCACATCTACGGAAAGCTTCTGAAGACCACCATCACCCCAGAAGGAGAAACAATCATTTTGGACCAAGTCAACATAGAATTTGTAGTTGACGCTGGCAATGAGAACCTCTTCTTCATTTCTCCATTAACTATTTATCATATCATAGATAAGAACAGCCCATTCTTCCACATGGCAGCAGAGACTATTCTGCAGCAAGATTTTGAATTGGTGGTGTTTTTAGATGGCACTGTTGAAGCCACTAGCGCTACCTGTCAAGTGAGGACATCCTACATCCCAGAAGAGGTGCTCTGGGGATATCGCTTTGCTCCCATTGTGTCCAAGACCAAAGAAGGGAAATACAGAGTAGACTTCCAGAACTTCAGCAAGACAGTGGCCGTGGAGACTCCCCATTGTGCCTTCTGTCTCTACAATGAGAAAGAAGCTAAAGCCAAAGAGAAGAAAGGTTACGACAACCCCGGTTTTGTCTTGTCAGAAGTTAGTGAAACCAGTGACACAAAAATGTAGTTCCAGATATTCGTGGGACTGTATCTTTTTTTCATAATGAATTCAATCTTGAGAGGATTAATAACTTAGTAAAACAAAAAAGAAACACAGGTTTGGGTTTACTCTAATCCAGCATTTATCTTCTCAAAAGCCTCAAATCAAAGAGGAACAGAATACCAGTGATCTCCAGATCTCCAGAACACTATTTAACTACACTATATATATATTTCATAGAGTTTATATTTTTATACCTATGGGACATTTAATGAAGCTGCTATGTTGGAATGTTCAACGCGCTTATGTTCCCAGAGGCATGCATGTCTGTTAAAAAGCCTGAAAAGATGGAGAGAAACTTCAGGACATGTTAAAGATACACAGCTGTCGGAATGAGAACATGAAAGGGGGAGACAGAAGGCAAAGCTAAAGAAACTAAGGGACTTAGAAGCCAAAACTTAAAAAAAAAACCCAAACCAACGTATGTTTCTGTTTGCCAAAGTCCTCTATGAAAGCAGACTCTCTGGCTCCAGAACACTTGAGCACTTTTGAACATTTTGAAAGAATTCCTTCTTTCTTTGAGGCTGGTACATCCACAGAAATGGAGCATTAAGGGATGGCACATGCTTAGGAAGCTAGAAAAGACAAAGCTTGGGCCATCCTGCTGCAGCTAGACCTCTGTAAAATACAACTTCTCTCCTGTAAAAGCCTTTGATTCCTTTCAGGGAAGAACAGCCAAATGGAAATGAAAAGTGAAAAAACAAGAAGCAAAGACCCATCATAGGAGAAGATGAATTTTGCAGCTTATTCCTAACCATCTCACCCTTCAGATCCTCATCTCTCCACTTCCCCAGGAGCTGACTAACTGTGAAATTAGGAAACATCTGAAGACAACTGTCCAGAAAGAAGGTGAGCCACAGCGGGGAGATGGAGAACACATTGATTGCTTCACACCTGGCAGAAAAGCAATCCACTGGGAGAAGAGAGGAAATTCCCAGCTCTAGATGTATCCTTCAAAAAAATCCACAATGCAAACACAGATTATCTTTTCCTTTGAAGCATGAAGGTCTTGTTAAAACAAAAACATGGCATAGGAGCCTCCCACCAACACTGGGCTTCAGATTTACTTCCAAACCGTTCAACTCACCACAGCAAAAAGTGCATCCCTACAGGAAACAAGTTCTGCTCAGCAGTAGGTGAACATTTTCTGGGTATGATTTTTGACATTTAAGTTTCAAATGCAACAAGAAACTTCAATAACTTTTTCGTGAATTACCATTTCCTCACAGCCTTTTTTGTTTCCCAACTAGTTCTTTTGCTGAGAGTTCAAGTGGCAAACCAAAAAGAGAGGTTTTTGGGGAACTCCTCCCACTGATGTAATTCAGCTCATCTATTTTCAACACTGTGGTAAAATGGAAGCATCTTTTTAAAAGCCGCTGGACCAAGCAGTTTTAAAAGAAGGGGAGAATTAAGCAGGTCAAATGCTGACAAGACAAAGTTCTTTTGCAGGTGAACATGATGTGAGTATGGAAATCAAACTCTGGGAACCAGGAGTATTCGGGTCTCAGTCCCAGTGTGGTATCAACTCGTTTGTTGGTTCAGAACAAATCACTTTAGTATGTATCTCAGATTTGCCATCTGTAACACGGGATATAAGGTACTTACGCTGTGCAAAGAACAATGTTATGAACAATTATGTCACTAAAGCACTTTAAAAGACAATTCTCAACTGTCTCAATCTTTCTTCTCTTCAGTGCACCACTGTTACACCCTTCTTCAATTGGAAAGGTCAGCACAGAAAGTTCTGTTCTCATCACACATCACAATTACTAGAAATGGCTGCATTATGGCCAAAACTACAGAATGCTGGAACTGCCAGCTGAAACATTCACAGTAATTCACAGATATTGCCCAATATTTTAAGTGCACTGGTTTTGCAGCCTTGCAAAATAACATCATCAACTGTAAAAGTGTTTTTACAATCCAAATCACCACAGCGTCTGAGCCTCTCCAACCATTAGTGCATCTCAGATTGTCTGCTTGGAAGGACAGTTGTTTTATCCTCCGCTCTGAATGGCACACCCCAGCACAAATAGCGAGCGATTGGTGGCCATCCACAGAACTCTAGGAGGGAGAAGGGAAGTGAAATGAAGTCTCAAAAGTCCCAGACTTGTCTGAACCAAAAGGCTGCTGTGCTGCTCAGTCCTTCCATAGCTGCTGCTACATTTCCTTTATAGGCTTCCTGTACAGTTGGCCTGTGTGTAAATTCCCTAGAAAGCAGTACTGGCAGTATTCAAGGCTTACAAGTTTACCTCTTACCCCTGGGAGAAGAGACACACCAAGATGCCCTTAATAGAAGTAGAAAGATAGACTTTACTGTACAAGAAAAGCAATTCAATAGGAAATCCATTTAAAAGGTCAAACCTTTGGGTTGTGTAGATTCTCCAAGGTCTAAAGGGTCCCTAAACAACACACTTTCAGGCACTGCCCTTGAGAAAGCCATCTCAAAATCTTAAGCCTGTAAGTTCATGACACAGCTTTTCTAAGCTCTTACCCCATGTCCCTACAGCACAAGTGTGAGGAGGCGCTATTCCATGTCTAGAAGTATTAAGCACTATCACAACTCAAACAGAAGACACTTGATCTTGCTGCAAGGACGATGCCCTGCTGTTCAGTCTATTCTAACAGTTACACCTGCCTCAAAAGCTACCTATGCTGCCTACAGTAAGGGAAGGGCGATCATATTCTTCTGCGTGTTTTGGTGTTACAGAGAGAATACGGGGACTGGCTACTGCACGAACAAAGATACGAGGGGGACATACCCAAGTTGACAGGGTCATGGCTGAGCTCTCAAGCTTAGAGGGCGACCATACTGGGACCTAAATGGGAGTCTAGGAATGAAACCTTCCTCCCATGAGCCTGCAGCTGATTGTCACCTCAGGAAATGCCTGCCAGTCCCCAGCTGCCAGCGGTGCACCAGGCAGGAGATAGAGCAGTGCAGGCAGAGCCCAGCAGCAGGAGAACAATGAGTGGAATTTCCTCTTTCTGTCCAGAGAGGGCTGTTTGTCACCAGAGAGATAAAGGCCCAAGGCAAGGAAAAAGGGTTATCGGGAGACATGTGGCACGCAGTGCCACTCAGGAGAGACTCCATAGGAAATCTATTTTGGGGGCTGTCACCCCTACTGCCATTAAAAGAAAGTTCAGTTAAGAGGATGAAAATAAATTTAATCTTGCTGAGCAGAAGGGGCTGGAGGCAACCACAGACCTGATACTGGAAAACAAAGACTGGTTTCTTTACCCGTGACACCGTTTCATTTTTACATCTCCACAGCACTCTGCTTGAGCCTTATGGTTCTCTTTGCCCTCCCTGTCCACCCAGTCTGCAGGCTGCCCATACTGTCGGCAGCAACAATTAGTCCTTTCCACAAAGTGGAACATGCTACGGAGGCCAACAGCCTGGTCAATACAAAGCAAAGGACTGAAGAGAAAGTCCTGTCTCTTCAGGAGAAGAAATCAGATGCTGTACTTATTGCTGGGTTAATGCCTAAAGGATTTAGCTGTGAAAGTGTTAGCCAAGCAGCTAGGCTTGGGAATAATGTGTCTGCACTAAACTTAATTTATCTTCTCATTTCACAAACAACATGTTTCTTCTACTGTATTTATTTTAAACATTCATTCAAGCTGTGCATAATATTTCAACCATTTTGAAATAGATTTACCCTCCTGCTGGCAAATGAATAAGGCATCCTGCTGACTGCTGGAGAAAGGGCCATGAATTAAAATAACTGCTTTTAGTAAACTGACATGTGCTAGTTAGCTGTCTCTACACACCCTTTGGTAGTGACTGGTGAAAAGAGACCCCTAAATAACAATAATAAAAAAACCAAATCCTGGCAAACTGTTTAGATACTCGTACTGACTTGCATTGTTGGAATGTGGCAGACCACTGCTAACTAGCTCACAGCAACTGCCGGGATAACTTCTGCATCTACACGCTTCCTTGTAAACTCAACTACTCACCCATAAACAAGTCAGCAGTGGGCAAAGCCCCGACACAAGTGAGAGCAGCTGAGGTGTCACATCCTCTTTCCTCTCCCCAGGCAGCAAACTGATGTGGTTAGACTCATGTGAATTCAGCTGGGAAGAGCCTTTATTTCCCCTTCCCTTTTATTTTGCCCCCTCCAATTCACCCCCGCCTTGAACTGTCACGGTGCTGGCCCAATTCCTGTTCCCGACACAGGCAGGGAGAAACCACAGCCCAACGCGCGGGATGTGAGCAGAGCCCCTGCTGCGGCAGGGACAGGGGAAGCTGAGCAAGTGCCTAAATCCTCTGCTGAATCTGTGCCTACAGCTTCTCGCTGCGGCCTGGGGAACCTCTATGACAACACCCTAAATCACACGTCACCCTGTGACAATGTCACTGGAACAAGAGCGAGGAAGGCTAAAGCCCTCTCTCTCCACTGCTAGAGTACACAATATGTTTCCTGAGGCCAGGCTGACATTCCTGTGGTGGAAGCATCTGCCTGGGGAAGCTTACGACTTGAACAAACTCACTGCTCCACAAGACAGGCATAAATTCTCCCTGCTCCGGGGAGCTGGACAAGCAAGGGCGGGCTGGAAATGAGACCATCTCACTTCACATCTCAATTCGCACGCCACTAGCCAAATTTAAGCACGGAAAGTATTGAAGCCCTTGCTCTCCTGGGTGACCGCATCCCAAGCAAGCTCCGCAGGGGCCAAGTTACTGCCTTGTTCTGTTATGACAACCCACCGCGGAGGCAGGCTGGGCTGCTGGAGACCACGCAGGGGTGCTGTCAGAGGGATCCGAGCCATCCCCCGAGTGTCTTCTGCCTTGCTGCCGCTGGATGGCAGCCCTTACCTCTGGATGGACCGCACAGCCCGCTCCGCTCCCCGCACAGGCACCAGCCCGACACTGCGCCTTGGCAGCACAGCAAGCTTCACAGCGCGAACTATGGCAATCTTGAAAGCCCAAAAGCAAGAATTTATTGGGACTGTTCCTTATTTTA